CCCATCTTCCTCTACTTTATATGGGACGCCACCACAGCATGGCTTGACAAGCGGTGCGTTGGTGCGCGCCGGGGATCCGAACCCCGGGCCACCACAGCGCAGCATGTGCACTTAACTGATACGCCACCAGGCCAGTCCCCCATCAAGTTCTTTTAAGGGCAAACATTATCTGTAGTTCCTCGAAGTTTCTCAGGTGAGGGCTCATAAGCTTTAGCAATCATTTGAAAGTGCTGAGCGACTATTATTTGAGTGGTGTTTTTTAACTTCAAGCTATGCATAAGAGACAAAGTTTTACAACAGTGAGAATTCCTATAACAATAAACAAAATGCTAAGTCTGAATTGGAGAATAATCTGAATCAGGAAGCATTTCCTGAGGGCAGCCAGCTAAAGAGATCAAAGAACTCTGGGATATCAGTGGGCACTGGATTTAACCATTTGGCCTGTGCTCAAATTCTGTCTAGTTCAGTTTTTACTTCACCAGAGGTGTTTACCCAAGTACAACAAGAGGTGTTTATCATAGAACTCCATCTTGTTCAGCTAGGAGGTAATCAAGAGAAATTCTATTATCTAATACAACTCATGCAAAGGAATCCAAAAATTTTTCACAGGAATCTATTGCTTTAGCGACAGATTTAGCAATATCCCTCAGGGTTTTAGATAAATTTCTGATCATGATGAAATAGGTATAACCAATAATCCAACTGTATAATGACCTCTAATTTGATAGGGATTTAAACAGTGTGTTCCCCATAGGTCTTTCTGCCAAGTCCAAGTGAAAATATACCCTAAGGAAGCACAAATCGTGGAGTCATTATAATGAAATGAACAAAACCAAGGGGTTTATTGGTTAGGCAAGAAGTTCTAGACACTTAGCACAAGGAATTAGGGGAGGAGTGGCAGAGTGATTGGTAATTAAATGTACTAAAGGATCTCTAGATTCATGTACAGAATGAGGCTTCTGATGATAAACCCAACAGTCGGAAAGATTTCCCCCTTTCGTAATAGATTGGAAGATGTAGATAAGAGTATTGTCTTTCTAAGAAAGAGAGGCAGAAAATAAGGTAAGAAGCAACAGCAAGTAAAAGGTATAGAAGCCCTGTCTGGCCACCAGGAGAAAGCTGTCTGCCTCAGACGTCGGTTGCGTCTTTTCATAGTCAATTTGATTTGGAGGCCTCCAGCATTTGCACAGGATCGGATGTCGGGTAGAGACTTCTTAGCTGTGGGATGTATCTCCAAGGTTAAATGCCTTCTAGTTCTGCAGCAGTGTCAGTGGTCAGGAGCACTTGGTAAGGCTCTTTCCAACTGGGCTCAAGGGCTGTCTTCCTCTGATGACGCTTCCAGAATACCCAGTTACCGGGCCCTAGACTCTGATGAATAGGATCCTTTAAATTGAAACCCAGGAAAGCTTCTCTAACCTGTAAACGACAGACTTGAGTATAAGACATTAGAGATTTACAGTAGCTGGTCATACCAGCATAAGACAACAAGGAATCATCAGAAGGTTGTATATTAACAGACATTGATCTAATGGTGACTGTCTCATGTGGAGTGAGTTCATGTTTTTCAAAGAGGATACTGTGAACAACCAGCAAATACTTTAGGACAGGGGAGTCCAGTCTACAGGTATATAACAAAACTTCAAAGACAATTAACAGGACTAGAATCTAATATCTACAAAGGTGCAAACATAATTTTTCTCTTTACAATTGCATTCATTTTTTTACCAAAGATAATCAGAGTAAAACTAATTATATTAAAAACTTGCCCTGATTGTTTATAAAAGTGAAAATAAGAATACTCACTGAGAGTTTCTGAATTCTTGAGGGATCAGGTAGAAAGAAAAAGTAAATGTTTCATCTTTGTTCAGAACAGTGTATCTTACCAAATTGTTGATAGCTTAAGAGAAAAGATTTTTTTAAACCTGGAAAAATGAAACATTAGAGCATCCTCCTTGGTTCATGTAGTCCCATGTAATTAATATTTGTTCTTGATCATTTGTTAGCAGTTTTGTGAAGCCATCAGTTTCTCCATTAGAGTTCTGTAATTTCTTACTTAGTCTAGTTTTATGATCTGACAGGTTATCAGAAACCTGAATTCTAGAGTAAGTGTCAGGGTCTTTTTTGTGAACCTTTCTCAAGATGAAACATATCTGCAAAAGCATCAAAGTAAAACAATAACTGTCTGTAAATGACAAAAGACTTAAAATGGCATGGTTAAAGGTTTGAATACAATGCAATTGACAAGGAAATTGGATTATTTCTGTGACATATAATATTTTAAGACAATAACTAGAATTATGACTGATAACACTATACTAGGACATAGATTTTTAGGAATTTTATATATTTCTAGAATACATATTATTAACATTCACTCACACAATATAACCTAAGAAGGTTTATCATCATTTATTTGACAATGTTTTCCATGTGATTTAACATACCAAATAAGCCTAATTAGTTTAATATCTCCCTTTTTATAGGAAGAGAGAAGAAATTATTTGAGAAGTCTAAGGGGCCCCCTAGAAATTCTCAAAGTTACTTTCAGGTTAAAAAAAAAAGACTTTATTTAGGATTCGAATTTTGGGGAAGTTTGTCAAAAATATCAAAGGTTTTAAAACACTTGGTCTATAAACAGGATCACAGGTCACTGTGAAACAATGTTTAGTTATCCATTTAACTAAACAAAGTGACAACAAAAGATCTTAAAGGTAAACACAGAGTTAAATCATTTTTTAAAGTTTAGCTCTCTTAATAGCAAGGTCTCAACTTTTTAAACATAGAAAATTATTTTGACAAAACACAGAATTCCTGCCTTTTAGGTAGACTTGCTCAAATGTAAAGAAAACCTTTTCATAATCTCTTTATCAAGAGCAGATGAAAAGTCCAAGACAACTGTCTTTTTAATAGAGAGAAAATCAAATTCTAGTCATGCATCAGTTTGCCCCTGATATTAAAGTTCATTCACTCAATTAAGTTCATTTTAATCCCAGCCAGTCCTGGCATGCACAAAACCCCTCTCCAAACATTTCCCTTCACAAGCTTTCTACGAGTTCCTTTTTACATCAGAATTTTGTCCCATGCCTTCCCTCCTTCCCAGCTTCTCCTTAGGAGAAAAATTACGTTCCTTCTTCTTCACAAAGAGTGCATCTCCATTCCTCACACCTTCTCTTACCAAAAACACACATCTTACTTTCCTTGTATACAGAGATGTTTCCTTTCTTAATTTTAGTACCTTTAATCACATATATTAATTAGAATTCTTAACTCTTAATTTTTAGTGAAAACTAAAAAGTAAGCAAGGATGAACTGTCTTTTACATTAGTATTCTGTGGATTGGTAGACATAAAAATACTTTCTAGAAACGTGCTTTCTCATAGAAATTTCTCAGTGTGGCATAAAACATGTTCATTAATAAACCCAAATATTTTTAACTTTTTCTGTAATAAGAAGCCAAAAGTAGATAAATCTGTATTAAGTAATTAATGTCTAATATTTTATCTTATTTGGAAATTATCTAGATACTTAATAAATTTCTATCATTTAACCTAATTTAGTGAAACTCTAAGGTTTCAAGTTACCAAAAAGATTTTGGAAGATATTTTTAAGGACATATGAAATAACGTAAAAAATTCACCTAAAAACCTTTTATCTTACTTACATCTATTTAGTTCACTTGTTCCCAATAATATGTTTAGATTGCCTACAAAAACTTCATGAGTCATTAGACAAAATCAGCCATCAATTCTTTTTTTGTTGCCAAATTTTGCAACAGAGATAACAAGAAATTTTTTAGCTTTTGGCAAACCTAGGTAGAACAAAAGTTTTATATTTAATACTGATAACACTAAAGACATGCCTATTTTAATTAACCCAACAAATTTAAATTATCTAGTTTCCTAGATCATGTGATCCTGAAATTCATTTGGGTTAGTTTCTGGGTTTTTTTTCTTTCTTTTTTTGAGAGTATACTCAATTTACATAATGCTTGTTTTTAAGCCAATTAAATAGAGCTTTCTTATAAACTAGTCTTGATAATACCCTCCAGAGACAGAAAAATATCATGTGCTTATAACATACGTATATAGACACACATATAAACAGACAAATGCAAACAGAGATTTTATAGCCTCCATTCTAAATTTTTCCTTAAATTAGATTTTTGGGCAAGGATGCTTCCACAGCAGTCTACATCTCCAAAAGCTCTTCCCCTCCTCCCTTTTATTCCTTCAGTCTTAAATCTGGAATGATTTAGATAATGGTTCCAGGAAAGGTTAAAAGACTTTTTGAGATAAACAGGGGAGGTTAGTTGCTTATCAAGGACTGACATACTCATTCAATTACATTAGCCTTAATTTGTTTCTTTCCCTCTGAGTACATAGTTTCACTTTAGCTTGGGGAGGAAAGCCTAAAAAAAATTCCTACCAGGCTCTAATATCAGCTTCCAATTTGGCCAAATTTCTGATCATAAGTTACTAAATCCTTTCAAATATTTTGTCAGATTTCAGCTGGGACAAACAGTAAATATTTCTGGCATTATTAAACAACTCAATTAATTTTTAATTTTAGTTTCCCCTTGGCTGTTTAAAGAAATAACATAGCAGTTTAACAGAAAACCTCTCAGAGTCTCACTAATTCTGGGAGGGGCCATATGGGGGCCCTCCTTTGAAGGTAGTTATCGGGGTGTCTGTAAAGCCATTAAGTTAACAGACTTTTGTATAGTCTTTTGAGTATTTCTTATATCTTAATTTTTTATTAGCTTTCTCCAATGAAACTTTCAATAAGGCTATTTTAGAATTTTGAAGGCTTTGCTTTTAAGTTGCACTTATTAAATGATCTTACCTAATTGGAACATTCCTTCTAACGGTCAATGTAATTCCTGTAAGGCTGGCACCAGCTTTAGATTCCTTTCATTGTTTGGATGCCTCTAAAACCCAATTGAAAAAATACATTCCATTCTGCCAGCCTGATATTAAATTCACAGTTTTCAAGTTGGTTACGTAAAAAGACAAGTTTTGGAAGCTCAAAAGAGCACCAAAGTGGCCACTGTAATTTTAAGTCATCTTTAGTAATTTTGGTCCATTGAGTTAGAAATTTACAAGAAGAGGGACCGCAATTTTTAAGCATAAAATCAGCTGGAGTTCCTGGGGGAGTTACTTCTCAGGGATTTTCAGAAAGTGAAAGCCCCATGTTAAAGAAAAGTGTGCAACTTAGAATGACAATAGGATTTTTTTGTATGCACATTAACAGGGTTAGCTAAACCTTGGGTCTCTTGGAGCCAAATTAATACCTAAGAGGGATGTGCCATGGAGATGGGGATGATATATTTACCGTGTACCTCATTGTACTTCATCTTCCAAATTGGAAGTTTTTTGGAGGCTGGTGGGTAACCTAGTATTGATCTAACCTGATCCTTGACCAACTTTTCCTATTAGGAGAGCCTTCTTGAGGTGGCGAATGACCTAATGGCTCTTAAATGCTCGATCTGTGCCCATCAGTTTTGCAGTTTTGGCTTCCAAGATATCCCTTAGCAATAGCTTTTACCTCATGTGTGTATTATCCCACAGCAAAGTTTATCTAAGCATAAATTTCTACCAAGGTAATCCCCTCCAATTCTACTGAGGGAATCCCTTCCAAATTCAGAGCACTCATCTGAGGGAATCCCCTCCTGCAGCAAGAGCCATGTCAGCACCATAACCAAGGAATCCCCTGCCTGCTTGAAAGAAACCTCTTCTGCAAAGACAAAAGCCACTGCACTGAACCCAAAGAAAGGCACTGACCTCAACCAAAGGGAGGGATGTCTGAACCTAAGAGGACCCACAATCAGAGGAGTCCGCTGCCTGTGGAAGTGGCTGAGCACACAAGGGGGCTCATGTTAGTACCAAACATGTTTCCAGGGGATGCTGGTCTGCAAAGGTAAGATGGCTTCAGGTTCTCATATGTCAACCTGAGAAAACAGAAACCAGTTTAAGAGGCAAAGCATTTATATGGGATCAAAGAATCGCAATTCAGGGAACACAGAGTCAGGTAGAAACCCAAATAGTGTCCCGCTAGGGAGTAAAAGTCAGGGTTTTTTTTGTGTGTGTGTGAGGAAGATCCACCCTGAGCTAACATCTGCCAATCCTCCTCTTTTTGCTGAGGAAGACCGGCCATGGGCTAACATCCATACCCATCTTACTCCACTTTATATGGGATGCCGCCAAGGCACGGCTTGCCAAGCAGTGCATTGGTGCGTGTCTGGGATCCGAACCAGTGATCCCCAGGCTGCTGCACCAGAGCACGTGCACTTAACCGCTTGCGCCACCAGGCTGGCTGCCCCAGTCAGGGGCTTTTAAAGGTGAGGAAGGGAGGTTGTTATTACAAAGAATTTTAATTGGAGTTGGAGGCAGAGAGCTAGTCTTGGCTAAACATTGATTGACTATTGATTCCATCTTCAGAAAGGCCACAATCCTCAGTCTTTGTGATCAGGAGGTCTATTCTCCTGCTGACTTCTCAAACAAGTTCTTGTAAAACAATTACCATTTAGGTCCAGTCCAAAGGTTTGGCTCAGTCCAAGGTTCAAGACCGCAAGGCAGTTTCTTTGGGAAGACAGCTCTGACTCCATTTTATAATGGCTCCATTATAGTCAATTCTGACAGCACACAATCATTATTTAATGAAGTAATAAGATACCATATGTGGTTTTAGTTCACTTAGGAACTTACAACATTTTAATCCTTAAATTAATTTGACTGCCTACCTCTCAAATTTAGCACCAACGTGTTCTCTCCATAGTTATTGAACTTTAAGCTTTTTCAATTATTTTCTAGATTATTAAAATAACCTATTAAATGATCTCTTTGCAGATACACTTACCTATCTTACCATCTCTCCTCTACACTACTGCCAGATTGATCTTTCTAAATGTAAATCTGATCAGATTACTCCCTGCTTATCCCTACTTTATTAGTCAGGACTGTGACAAGAAATCATCGTCACCCAAAAATAGGGGAATTGAGAAGAGTTAAATGATGGGACTATTTTCAAAGATGTGAGCACGATTCAAGGAATGGTAAAAATCCCAGGAATCTCAACAGGAGAAAGCCACTACTACAAGGCTTCCTAAAAGGGAAAGAGGAGAAAGCCTTTACCAAAACCCAGCAAGAGAGCTGTGGATACAGTAAATGACCCCCAGATGAGGCTGTGGTCCTCAGTAGAGTAACACAGCCATTGCCACACTCAATTAATTATTCTCAGCTTCTTCAGAATTTGTATTGGTTTCAATTTCTGGGAAAACTTGAAAGAGGAGCATTAGCAGGATGAATTACAGCCTTCTTTGCTGCAATTGGTTTCAAGTTTGTAAGTGATATGCATCATCTCCTCTTACTCTTCTAAATTTCTCTTCTTCTCAGCTAGAACTTCAGATGGTCTACACTTTAAGATTTTATTTATTCAGTTTTTTCCCCCCAAAGCCCCAGTAGATAGTTGTATGTCATAGGTTCACATCCTTCTAGTTGCTGTACGTGGGACTCGGCCTCGCGTTGGACGGAGAAGTGGTGCCTCGGGGCGCTCCCGGGACCCGAACCCGGGCCGCCAGCATCAGAGCGCGCGCACTCAACCGCTAAGCCACGGAGCCGGCCCTGGTCTACACTTTAGATGCCTCAGAGTCTCATCCCTGAGAGGCTTGATACCCTGGTTACCATACCCTTACCAGGCAATGATAGCTATACTTGTTCATTTATAATTAAAGTTAGGCATGGAAGTACCAAGAGATAGTCTGTAGTTCACCTGAGTACCAAATATATTCCTCCATGCCCCTATTAAGCAACCCTACCACCTTAGGATAACTAGGTTAAAATACCCCAGTGTGTACAGTTGTGCCAGTATGGTAACTCCTTTCTTTGCTTGCTGAAGAACTCTAAGTGATCAGGTATCAGCCATGGTTCAAGTTTAGTGGGACTTTTCCTGTGTCTCCAAGTGGAAGCATCCCTCCCCTGGGAAATAGGACTTCTAAACACACAGGGTCTAAAGTTGAGGAGACAGGAGACACAAATTCTCCCAGTGAGGCCCTGGAGTGATGGTGAAGTAGGGGCACTACTTCCTCCTTCTCTTCCTTTCTGAACTCATTTCTTCTACCTATTTAGGACATAGCACCATATAATGGCCATTGATTTAGCATAAATGTACTGCTTTCTGAAGGATATCTCCATTACAGGGTATCTCCAAGCTGGTACTGCATCTGTGCCTTAAAATAGGCATTTCCATGGTCTATCAAGTCAACAGTTTCAAATGATTCAATATATGGTAGGACCAGAGGATTCTTTTGCTATATTCCCACCATCATGCCTCTTTCACCATAAAGAGATGGTCTGAGATGATATTATGTGGTATCCCATCCAATAGATCACTCAGTGAGCCCTTGCATGTGATGTTGACTAAAATACTGCTGGCAGGAAAGGTAAACACATCCTTGAAATATGTGTCACTACTGCTCAGGACAAACTGTTGCCCTTGTCAGGATGAGAGGGGTCCAGTGTTATCAACTTGCCTCCAAGTGTTTGGTTGGTTTCCTCAAAGGATTGTATCATATCAGGGGCTCAGCATTAAAATTTTCCCCTGGATATGTTCGACATTTAGCTGTGTCATTAGCTAGATCAGCTTCAGTGAGAGGGATCCCATGCTGCCTCCCAGATTTGGAAGTCTGGGATACTTGTTCATCCAGCTTACTTATGCCCTTTGGATCTGCTTAAGGCTGATCCAAGATGTAACCCTTCCATTTTATAAATAATGCTGCTGGGGCTGCTAAAGTTTGACTTGGTGGGTTTGACAGGCACCAGCTCAAAATAAGCAGTCCTGGTCTCCTGGTTGTTGGATGTCCCTTGGTCAGATGTTTACTTTCCCTGTGATCCCGACTACCAGGGGGAAATTGGACTACTACTCCACAAAGGAGGTAATGAAGAGTATGTCTGGAAATCAGGAGATCCTTTAAGGTATCTCTTAGTATTACCACACCCTAAATTAAGGTCAATGAAAAATTACAACAACCCACTACTAGGCAGGACTACTAACGGCCCAGACCCTTCAGGAATAAAGGTTGGGTCATCCTGCCAGGTAAAGAACCATGACCAGCTGAGGTGCTTGCTGAAGGCAAGGGAAATACAGAATGCGCAGTAGAAATTGGAACGTATAAATACCAGCTATTACTATGTAACCAAGTAGAGAAACAGGACTATAATTGTCATGAGTATTTCCTCCTAATTTTGTTATAAATACATTTCTGTGTATATATACATATATTAAGCAAATATCCTTGCTTTCTTTCCTCTCTTATTCTCTTATCATGTAACATAAAATGTATTGACTTTATATCAGTATTTAAGTATTGTTAATTTTACATCATAGAATTTAAGTTATAGGATATCAAAAGAAGAGTAAACATCACTCAAGGACTTTACCTCCTCTTCTGGAGAAGGGATTAGTGTATTTTCAGTTGTACACGGGATAGTTGTATCATGTAAGGTAGAATTATGACCTTGTTATTGTCTTTATTTGGAGAGTAAGTATGGTTTAAGAAGACTTTTATAGATTCCAAGTTGACAAGGGGTGGACTTGTGATGGTCAATTTTATGTATCAGTTTAACTGGGCATGACCAGAGAGCTGGTAAAACATTACTTATGGGTGTGTCTGTGAGGATGTGTCAGGAAGAAATTAGCATTTGAATCAGTATACGGAGTAAAGAAAAGATCCCTCACCAATACAGGTGGGCATCATCCAATACATCGAGAGCCTAAATAGAACAAAATAGAAGAGGAAGGGTGAATTTACTCTCTGCCTGAGCTGGGACATCCATCTTCTCTTGCCCTCGGACATTCGTGCTCCTGTTTCTCTGGTCATTGGACTTGGACTGAATTATACCACTGGCTTTCCTGGGTCTCCAGCTTGCAGATGGCAGATCATGGGACTTCTCAGCCTCCATAATTGTGTGAGCCAATTCCTATAATCTCCTCATATCTATATATTTTTATACATTTTA